ATTGTCACAAGGAATACACATTTGAAGTATGAAAGCCCTAGCACCAACTGTTCAACCAAGGATAAAGTTTTTTTCAAAAGTAGGTCAAACTTTAAGATCAAGGTCAAAGGTCAAAGTTGTTGGTATCAAAAGGAAGGCCTTGTCACAAGAAATACACATGTGAAATTCGAAAGTCCAAGCATCAGCTGTTATGGCCAAGGTTAAAGTCTCATAATTTTTTTTCAAAAGTGGGTCAAACTCCAAGGTTAAGGTCAAAAGGTCAAATATGATGCTACAAAAAGAAAGATCTTGCACACTGAATACACAAGTGAAATATGAAAGTTTTTGCGGACAAACAGACAAACAGACAGACGGACGGACGGACATCGCAAATACTATACACCCCCGAATCTTCGATACGGAGCATAAAAAACTTTAAATATTGCAATTTCCCAGCAAACGTATTCTATTTTCATCAAGAGATTATATTACGTTAGTGCGACGTCATTATTTTCGAATGCCTCCGCGACTAGAAAAAGATCACCAAAAACTCATTCAAAATAAAGCATGTAATCCGTAAATCCAAAAATTTTTATGATTGATGATAATGTTCATGTAAAAGATGCCATAGTTTACCCACAGCATATGGCACTATTTCAATGAAATATAGGAGAGGTCATGTGATTTTTTTCCTTCATAATCTCGAGCAATAGGGAAAAATTAGAACAAATCTTGTATTTAACAAATAAGCATTTAGTCGGGTTTGCATTTGCAAACCTATTTTGAATTAATGTAATCAATAACAAAACGTGCTAGATTTTAATACGTTTTAAATGTTACAATTAATTTAAAGCATATATGAAGCTCAACTTATATAATTAAAGGTAGCATTATGACATATACACTCATACTTCATAGAACGAAATGACTTTGTCTATCACTTAATTAACGGACTTCAACTTAACCTTCAAAACATTGTAAAGACCGTCTCTTCCACATCTCTGAAGCGCCAATTTTAAATGGCTTGCCTGCAAACCATGTGCTGTAGAAGTAGATGCCAATCCGTATTTTTTTTTTATCTGCGCAAGAATAAACCAGCAATTTCAACTCAACTATTCACCTCCCTGCCCCCCATGAATTTTCGTCCGTGCAGTGTTTTGCAAGTGCGGGGGCGTCTTCCTTCTTTTCTTCGTGGTGTGTTTTTGTTTTAAAAACCAAGTTCTTCAAGCTCGCTATTCTTTAATTTTTCTGTGACACAAACTTTCCTTTATATTTCATCTCAAAAAGGTTTTGACGATTTGTCGATTGTGACTCAATTTTCTTATTAAAGTTGACGTAATTTTTAAACTCTATCAAATTAAATTGAATGATAATTATTTATGCAAAGAATGATGAATTATTGCGTTTTACTTCGAAAAACAGAATAAGTTTTTGCCTTTCATTTTCCAACATAGAGAAAAATCTCTTAATTTAATTAATTATCTATCTGTTATTTTACATTAAATAAAAATAAATATTTTTACAGACCACGCAAGCTTTGATGTATGTTTCTTTTTATATTGCATATTGCTGAAGATATTATTTGTTTGTTTGTTGTAAACGCGGTAAGCTTTTTAAGTCGAATCCTATTGTGACGTCAGCAAATCTGCAATCTACCTCTTTGAAACATCGAGGGCGAGCAGCTTTTCCGATTACAAGAGGCTTAGTTTTTTTCATCAGACACGCAATCATCACTGTCACTTTTCTTTGGCGAGTTTCCCCCCTTTGCATTCACTGCCTTTCAACGCAAAACTCTTATCGGGAAGTGCACGAAAAAAAGACCTGTTTCAACACAAATAAAATTGTCATTGCTAAAAAATTTTTCTTGAATAGTTTCTTCATACTTTTGAATTTCTGTAATGTTGACATATCAGCATTTTCACTACATGTTTTGAAGTGACCAATATTAAAACGCGTTCTGAAACTTCTAACCAGCTGCTTGAGGCTTTGAAGTCTGGAAAATCTAACTCTCTTGCATATTCCAAAGCTTTTTTTTTTTTTTTTTTTTTTTTTTTTTTTGTAACATAGGGCCATTAATTGGCAGATTTTTTGATCGGGCCTGTACAAACCATCGTTAAACATTGAATATATATTGAGCCACTATTAAATCGCCTCCTTTTTGCGATACCGAATCTTCTAAACTGTTCAAGATAAAAATTATCGCCTTTTAAAATGTAACTCACCGTCGTTGCTTTAATTCTTAATTTCGTACTAAGTTGAGAGTGGGTAATTTTTGTTTTTCTCTGAATCTTCAATTAAATTGATTTCTTCCTGCAACGGAACATTTGACCGGCCTTATGGATTCTGTCATGATACACGAACGGAAAATCGTGACCTGGTTTTCGTAGCCTGTCAAAAGAACGACCAGTCTTTTCTGTACAGATATACATTTAGTATTTGCCTTTGTCTTGTTTTTATTTTTACCTCTTTGTTTTGTACGAAACAATAATTAAGTTCTTCTCCACAGCTACTTTCACTTCTACATTCATTTCCCCGAATGTTGCTTAAGGTCAAGATCTAGTAAATGAAAGGTGCACGTAGCGATCTACGTGAGCGAATCAAAGGATCTGATTTCAATCAGATTGGTCTTAAAAAGACATAGCAATGCAATGTTTCATCATTAAAGCACTATAATAATGTTTGGCACTATAAATTTAGCATGGCACTGCTTTAATCTATTGATCTATTTCCAGAAGGAAGAACTACTTTTGAATTGTTTTACTTTTTTTAAAATTTCTCCAAAGGAACGCCCTGCAGATACCATACTCACTGCTTAAGCATGTTCTCCCTGGGTCAAACGCTACATACGATGTAGTTGTTTCTATTAGATCAAACAAAGAATACAAAAACACACCAAAAAAAAAGAAATTTATTCCTCGAAATGTGTGAGCATTATTTCATGAAATGGCTACGCTTTAGTTAAAAGTATTTTTATTTATCAGTTCAGACATTAAAATGTCTCTTTTCTTACTTTAGATTCATATTTACTTATTATACTTTAATGTAAATTACTAGAATTTTTCGAGATAAAATCGTTAAAAATAAATGTTATCCTCTAAAGGAGAAACCAAGCCTTCAAGTGAGATAGAACTTAGCAATAGTCAATATTGCTTGACGACTGGTGAAATTAAAAAAAAAAAAATGAGTGAGCAGTGGCGTATATTCCTTTCTGATAATGTGTAGGCTATTTAAGCTCGGGTGCCGAGTGTAGGTAGGCAAGGAGCCCCCTCTCGATAGGAATTGGAGGAGGGGGGTCATAGGGAGCATTTTTGCGAATTCTAGGATATCTTACATCGTAATTGGACCAGTGAAAATGAAATTGTCAGCATATATTCAGATTATATCTTGATACGAAGACCACTTAACAAAATTGAGAGCTCTTAACTTATCCTTTTACTCTGCTTAGAAAATATGGGAAGTTTCTTACTGATTAATCCAAATACGAATAATATGTTCAATTTCCTACTAACCAAAAATATTTCCAATTTTATTTCCTGTTCTAATTATATATGGACTGCTGTTGCTGTCGATGGTTTTTAAATTGTCTGATACAGACCTAATATAATACTTGAATACCGGCTTAAAAAATTCCAATTATATGAATAGTTTTGTCATTAAATATAAAGCAAAACTGTAGATATTGGATAGGTATAAAAGTGCGAATTGCTAAGAATGCCTTTTTTGCATTTGCAATAGGTACGATTTATTATCAACTGTCCCCCTTTTTTCAACCAATTTTTTTTTATCCCTGAGAAAATGATGAGTAGGCTACAGCATTTTTGCCTATATGCCACCAGTGAGCGTAATCTATGAGCATGCGCTTCACCTTTACTTGTATTTTGTATAAAACATTCAATATGTAAATATATACTGCATGTAGTTGAGGGTTACATTGAAAGTTTTCACTCCTCGAAAACATTATCAACCTCGCCTGCGTCTCAGATGACAATGGCTTCTTAATTGGGGTGAACATTTTCAATGTAACCCTCAACTGCATGCAGTATTTATATAATATCAAATGCCTCATAAATAAGTTTTGAAACTTAAATATTAATTTTGTGTGTGTATGTGTGTGTGTGTGAGTGTGGTCCCTTAGCATTTTGTCTTGTGTAGTTTGCTTTGTACTTGGCCAGTAATGTCTGTAGTCAGTAAAAATCAAAATTTGAAAAAAGCAAGAGTTATGCCAGATTATGTCTTTTTTTTAACTTTCAATAACACTGACATTATTGAGTTGACATATGAATGAAAGTAACTATTGTTTATTGATAAAACGTTGTCGATATCTCGAAATGTTGAATGAAAAGTCCCTTTTAGAGATTTCTTCTTCTCATGTAGAATTTTTTAAAATAAATTCTGCTTCCTAAAATATATAAACTAGACAGCTAATAAGGAGCAGCAGGATTAGTGCTTATCGGAATTCAAAGATTTCTGGAGGGGTTAGGGTTAGGGCATGTTCTTGTTTTCTTGTATCTTGTCTATAATAGTTTTAAATCATCTTCTCCGCTCTGCTTATGAATCAAATATATTCAGTAAATGCCCGTTAATACAGTGTTAAGGAAGAAAAACAACTAAACTTTATGACAATAACATATTTTGTTGGCACAAACGATATTTAAATGAACAAACGTACAGGAATCATGTACATGTGTTTTTCTTTTAAAAATTGTTTCAAAGTTAATCTATAGTAACTGTTGCTGTTTATATGCCGATTTTCTCAATACATTTATTTTATACAAAAACACACAATGAAATATTTCATGAATTATTATATTATATATATTATATTAGTGCAAACAACATAAGACATGGAGTAGGTAAATTTAGGTAAATTATAATTAGAAATTCTCGAAAACAATAGTAAATCGCAAAAATACAGTGGGTAACTACGACAGGTTTGGCTGTTATATCATTCCAACTTTATCGATAATAACGTAGCATAGTGTGAACAGTAATTACTTCTGATTCAAATATCTGATAACAGTAGAGAAAAGACCGTATTACATCTTCATCATTATCTTGATAGGTCAAGATACAGAGTGATTGTGATAAACATTCTGTTTGAATAGCATGTAGGAGGAAATATGGTTGACCGGTAAGTACTCCTGGACTACATACAAATTTTTCGCTTAGGCCCATATAACATGGTATTTCTTAATTTCTACTGGAATAAATAAGCTAACGTTTTAATGAGAAATGAAAATACATTAAACTAAGGAACAGTAAATATGGAGGGGTATCTTGTACCATATATGAGCGTATGAGTTGATATTTATTGTAAGCAAAGTAAATAATTGTTTCCCTTGAAATGTGAAGATAACAAACAGTGATCATGCTCAAAAGTTTATTTGTCGCCCGCGTGGCTCAGTGGTTAAAGCGTCTGTTCTAAGAGTCGCGGAGTAAGGAGTTGATCCTTGCGTCGCGGGTTCGAATCCCACAGTGGGACGTGGAAACCGGTCCTTCGGATGAGACCGTATAAACCGAGGTCCCGTGTCGCAGTAGGTGCTGGCACGAAAAAGATCCCTCGCTGCTCAATGGCTCTGAGTGTCGAGTTTAGGTCAAAATTTGCGGCTCTCCACCGGCAAGTGGTGACGTCTCCATATGAGTGAAAAATTCTGGAGAGGAACGTTAAACAACACACAAACAGACAAACAAAAGTTTATTTAAACAAAAACTTGGAGCAGAGCAAACATGAACCTCTGAATATAGAGAAGGGATCAGGTGTCATGGAGAAGTAAGCATCCAATGTCATGCTACATTGATATAAATAGTTTTCATCATACATGAAAAGAAAAAAGAATTAATTAAGGAATGTTTTTAAGTATTGTGTGAGTTATTGGTGTGTAAATCACACAGACTTGTCACGTTCGCATATTTCATGAAGGGCGCTAGCGCTTCATGAAAAATATGCCTAGGTGCAAGACTGTGTGATTTACACACCAATAATTCACACTAAACTTAAAAACATTCCTTATATTTATATTTTATGTGTTCAAAAGCCTAAAAAATTTACTTGATGTTTGAATTATTCGCTGCCCTATATCGTTACATTGTTACATTTTTATTAACGTCTCTGAAGCTTATTGTACGGCACTTTAACGCGAGTTTCTCCGTGTATATTTCTACGCGTGAGTATACGCGGAAATTACATTCAAATCAATTTCACAGTTGGCTTATTAGAAAAACACAGCAAATGTAAATATTTTAAGAACGAAAAGGGTGAAGATAACGAACAGAGATCAATCTCAAAAAACATCTATAAACAATACAAATCTGCGAACAGGACAAAAACAGGGAACCCAGGAAATTCCAGAGTTGGGATCAGGTGCTTAAGAGAAGTGAGCATCCTCTGTTGATTGGTCAAATCCTCCGTGAGCTTCTCTCCTTTTGCATGTAGAAATTGTTTGTGTGTAGAACATGCTCTTGTGTATCAAATCTATATATGTTTCTGTATTTTTTGCTATTTGCTGACTTTAAACGAAGTTGTTGAAATCATTGTCACATTACTTATCTGTCAGTAGTCTGCCTCGGTTTAAGAATGTACAGTACTCAGGGCATACCCTTGAATATGGAATAAGTTGGGAGACCATATCCAGGTATTGGTAGCCGAATACTGCTAGATAAATAAGGAAAATTGACGATGCAAAACCTTAAGTCATCTCGTTTGTCGTTTGTTTGTTTGTTTGTTTGTTTATTGTTTAACGTCACTCTCGAGAATTTTTCACTCATATGGAGACGCCACCACTTGCAGGTGGAGAGCTGCAAATTTTGACCTATACTCGGCACTTAGGGCCATTGAGCAGTAAGGGATCTTTTTCGTGCCAGCACCTACTGCGACGCGGGACCTCGGTTTATACGCTCTCACCCGAAGGACCGGTTCTAACGTCCCACAGTGGGATACTTACCCGTGACGCAAGGATCAACTCCTTACTCCGCGACTCTAGAGCGAACGCTCTAACCACTGCCCCACGCGGGCGACTCGTTTGTCGTACAATGTAGCTGTGGGTTGGCCTTGGTCGTCTACATTCAGTAAACATCCAAATATAAACAGATATTGCAGGCTCTGTGGTGTCTTTTATTTCAAGTGGACAGGGGTATCGAGTCGACATATGAATGGAAGTAACTACTGTTTACTGATAAAACGTCGTTGATATTATTAAATGTCTAGTTGAAGGCCACAGCAAGTGTCATTTTCTTCTTCTTCTCATGTAGAAGTGTTGGAATAAATTCTGCTTCCTAGGAATATAAAAACAGGTCGGCTAATGAAGGACCACAATTAGTGCACTATCGAATTCCAAAAGTTTGTTGGAAGAACTGATCACCACACACTCCATGCATTTTTGCCAATGAGGAACTCCAGCATCCTTTTAATATCAAATTCAAAATTTTTGTGTGTATCATCATATTGATTTTAATATGTTGTAGTACAGTACGTCTGAAGTTTCTTCTTTACAGCGGTTAATAATTCTGTAAGGAGAAGAGATAGGGGTTTGGAAGAGCTGGACCTTGCTGGACTCTGCAATATATCTTTGCTTATAAGGATTTTTATGAGGTTTTTAATCCAGCACAGGTAGGATGGATCGAATTCACTTTCGTTGCCTGAAATGTTAAAAGTATTAAACACTGAAATATGACCTTAATGATTTTTTTCTTAGAAAGTGTACTCTGAGTATAAGTTGGATTTCAAGAGGTAGAATTAAAACCAGGTTCTTCGAAAACACAGTTATGATAATGAGATTTTTAGTATAAAATCAAAGGCATAACAATTGGCATGAATTCTGTCAGTCAAAATTCGACCCAATGATAGGCTATATTTGAAAAACAAGGTCATTAAAACGAACAAAGGATATACGGAAGGCTGAGTTTAAACGAAATTGAAGAAATCCCTGTGACATCAAATTATCTATCAGCAGTCTGCTTGTCGACGGAAATACAAAATCTTGTTACTGAATGTAGGTGCTTTCTTCATGAGGGCTATTGTTGATTTGTTTACAAAGCAAGGTTAAATTTCATTGCGTTTTGTATCGAAGAGAAGAAGTGTGATTTGTAAACAATTGACCCTTCTTTATTTTTTTTACTTGTAAAGAAGTTCATGTTTTAAATATGCAATTGATTTTTCAGTGTTAAAAAATTTGGCGTTCTCTCTTGTTAGAGACTGTAGTCCAGCAGGCAGATTGACAAAGAGCTATTTTCATGGAGCATGTAGAGTTCCTCTCAGTGGTGAAACCATAGGGGAAGTACTTTTACACAAGGAAATAGATCCTGACAAAGTAATATTTGCTGCACCAGAATTCAATCAAAAACTGACAGTAAAAGAACTTCGCAAAGAGGTAACAGTCAAAGAGATTTTTTTCGACGAATGTCACGACACGTTAATACATTATTTTTCTGAGATATTTTATTATAATAGATTGATTTTTGTTATTCTCGGTATATATTTAAACTAACTAACGCTTATAAAATAAGTTTAAAAGATAACAAACACGAGCTAATAAAAATTTATCGAGAATACTTTAATTAACATTCACTTGAAAAATGTGAAAAATATTAATTTCTGTAAAATTTGCAAGGTGACATGTGTATTTTAAATCATCAAATTATGTGGAACATTTTTGTGGATCTCTTCACCTAATGCTTTTCTTCTAAATATATATAAATTTCTTTATATTTTATGTATGAAAATGAACTTTCTCCCACAGGGTTCTAGATTAAATTAATAAGGTTACTGTATATTTATCGATTTTGAGATATTTTTAATAAATATCCCAATAAAGCTTTTTATATTACATGTACTCTGATTTATGGAATATCAAACATTTTCCTTGATTTATGTTCCGGATACCTTAACAATGCACATTGCAATAGTGAAACACAACGAATAAAAAAATGTGTATATTGCTGTTGCAGTCTAACAGTAATGTTTCTGTAATATGACAGGGTTAATTTGAGGTAGTGGGTATAATGACTTACGGATGATTTCAGATACAGTAAATCACGCTTATAGCAAACACGCCTGTGTCTCTAAAATTACGAATGTAACAAATTAAATTAGATTGATAACTCAATAAAGCAAAATCGTGTATTTTGTATACAGAAAAAAATTCAACGTCATTCATTCCATTAAATACCTGAAAGGTTATTTCAGTGTAGTGTGAACACAGTGGTAAATGTAATTTCCATAGCATCTGAACAATGACTTATAGGGACTGTACCTAATGTTCTCAAATGCAAGTTTAATTTCAAGTTTCCGATTACTATAATACATTTGTTACGAGAAATACATCTTATCATTGTTGCAAGCCATGGGATTCGTGTCTATTCTATTTCCATAAATCCGTGTTTGTTAACTACAAAATTTTCTCGTTTCCGCGAAAGATTATTAAAAGTGACGCCACATTTACATTTATCTTGGCCAATGATATCACGCTAAACATTTACATGGCGGCGCCCATAATGAAATTATGTTTGCTAGAATGTATTCTGCAAATCTTAACTTTAAAAGACAGGATTTCGAACGCAGATATGTGAAAACTGAATAGCGTCACACTTTTAGACAAGGAAATTCGAACCGTAGTTGATGTACCGGTCTGTGGTTATGGCTACTTCCAGATATAAGATAAACCGAACATTTTTATTGTATAATTGTTTAATTCTGACTTGAAGAGTCAGATCACTATTCCATTGGTTAAATCTGTGGCATTAATTTTAATGAGTAGACAGCCACGGGTTTGTTGAAATAGAATGATCACAAAATCCGTGTTTTGTGACAATGACATGTAAATGTGTATAAAATTAGTGAGATTAGTGTGAAAACTTCTAATAAACGTTCAGACGTTCTCTTCGTGATTGAGAAGCCCGGATTCGATTCTCTTTCGCCGTGCCACGTCAAACCTAAGACGTAAATATACTTAGTGACTGTTCCTTCACCAAGCGCTTGGCATACGAAGTGAAAGAAACGAGTTTTTCGGATGAGACCTTCAGAACCGAGGTCCCGTGTCACGGTAGGCGTTGGTTCGATTATGAACTTCACTGCTCAATGACCATGAGTGCCGAGTATACGTCTAAATTTGAAAACTTTAACGACATTCGGTTACACCCCTATATATGAGAAAAAAATTGAGAATGGGACGTTAAACAACATACAATCAATCAATCGAATTAACGTTGTAGAGTTCCGTTGTCATTGTTGACGTACATTTTCACAATGTCATCTTCTTCTGCAGAACCACTGGCCCAATTTCAACTAAAATTGTCACAAAGAACCCTTGGTTGAATGAAACTCTACCTTGTTCAAATGAAGGGCCACAACCTCTTTCAAGGGGAAATAATTAAGAATTGCTGAAAATTTAATGACAACATTTAAAAACTTCAAGAAACAAGTTCGCCAGAAAACATCATGGCCCCTAGGGGTATGGCAGGGTCACACTATAGGAGATCAAAGTTTAACATAGAAAAAACTCTAAAAAAAATAATAAATAAATAAATAAAAAAATAAACCAGCAAGGCAATGATTTGTCGTATTTTTAAGGAAACATCCTCAGGTAGTGTAGGTTTGTTCAAATCATGGTCCCTTGCAGTAGGATGGGACCACATTTGAAATCAAAGTTTTACATAGGAATATATGGTTAAAATCTTTAAAAATCTTCTAAAAATCAAAATCATGATAAATCATATTTATATGTAAGCATTCTCAAGTAGTTTAGATTCAAGCTTGTCCAAATCATTACCCTGGGGTAGAGTGGGGCCTTCTCATTTGAAATGTAATTCTCGAAGCAGAAAAAGCCATTATGAGTCATCATTATATGGAAGCATCCTCAGGAAGTAAAGATTCAAGTTTGTTTCAATCAAAGTCCTTGGGAATAGGTTGAGGCCACAATTGGATATTTTTGTTTGTTTGTTTGTTTATTTAACGTCCCTTCGAGAAATTTTCACTCATATTGAGACGCCACCACTTGCCGGTAGAGGGCTCGAAATATTTAGACCTGTAATCAGCACTTAGGTCTTTTGAGCAGTGAGGGATCTCTAAAAGCTCTAAAAGCTACGCCAAGTGGGCGACGGCAACAATAGCGGATCAAAGTTTTTCAAAGGAATATATAAGAATTCTTTTAAATTATTCTTTTAATGAACATCAAAGACATTTTAATTATATTCAAATGCAAGCGTCATCACGTAGATTAGAATCAAGTTTGTTCAAATCAATGCCCTCGGGATGGTTGAAGCTACAATAGGCGATCAAAGTTCACAAGGAAAAATATAGGAAGAATAAATATTTTGGAGAGTTAAGATAGATCTCAAACTTAATTATATTAATAGCCAAAATATACCTAAATTATGTGGAATCAGCTTTTTTTTTGTTTGTTAAAAAATTATGAGCCCTTGGATTAGGTTTGGACAAAAATCGGAGCTCCAAATTTTATAGAGTGCAAGTGTACAGAAAACAATATCTTCAGAAAAGCAGGGGCTGTTTATTATATTGATATATAAACATCCCAATGTTGTGTGGATTTATCATTTGATTAAAACATAGCTCCTTTGTGGCTAGTTTTCTGTCCACATTCTAAAGTCAACATTCCTTGAAATCAAAGAGGGAAATTAAAAAAAGATACAATCTGCTAAAAACAGCATGGTCAAAATGACTTCGCAGGGCGTTGTGGCCCATGGGCCTTTTGTTATATTTCTAACACGAAACATTAACTTTTTCTTGTTCTACTATCAGATTTCAGTGATGAATGGACGAAACATATATTTGAATCATGATCTAAGATTAATTTCATAAGAAATAAGTGTTTGTTTTTTTTTTTTTAATATTTAACCTTATCAACAGTCCATACTGTTCTCCAAATGGCTAATTAAGAATGGAATTCAAAAAGGTGACATTGTGCTGGTCAATGGAGTGGCGGATTTGAAGTATTTTCCCCTCCTTTTAGGGACAGTCTCGATTGGATGCATCTGTCAAACAGTAAGTAAAAACCTTAAACTAACTTTTTTTAAAGATGACATGAACATTTTGTCTTTTTTTTTTTTTTTTTTTTTTTTTTTTTTGGTTTTTGGTTTTTGTTTTGGTTTTGTTTTTTGCATTTCATATATTAGGTTAATTGAAACATTGCAGGTTTTCGGTTCACATTTTAAAAGTCAGATACAGGTAAGCAAAGTTCAACTATTTCCATCGATTTTGTTAAGTTATGACGTAACACAAAATATTGTATGAAGGCTCTCAATTTACAGAGTACCAATTCACATTATACTTCCATTTGATCCATAATAGCTTACTGAAAACAAAGAAAAGATATTAATAAAACAGAAATCCCCTGTATTTAAAATCTAACCGTTCATTAAAATTGATTCTTGTTAGTAAAAAGGGGTAGTTTATAAAATTTTAAATCTCAAAAGATTTTTTATTTGTCTCAAAAGATTTTGCATACAGCCCACCTCATTAATACGGATGCTGAATTTTCCGAATTAATAAAGCGTCCGGGTTACTGAGACATGAGTTATTGACCTTTCAATTAACGAGACTCCACTGTACTTAATTTTTTATTTTTTATTTTTTACGTACCCAGTTAAAGATGAATTCTGAATTTTTATGGAACTAATTATATCATTTTAAACAGTGACACTGTTACCGATGTCTGAAAATTCAAGTGATTTACAACATGCATTAAATGAATCTAATAATTATAATCTCTGCTCTTCCAGTTTGTTTTAAATGTGTATATATGCACCTCTTGTACTATTTCTATAGGGGAGAGTTGAGAGAGAATAAATGAAAAGATGAGTGAGTAACTATAATTGATTTGCGAAGTTGACACAGATTTTTTTTCTAAGGGAGTTTGATTATCATTCAAAAAAGAAAACTAAGCGTTATTTCTGACATCACCTTGTTTCCAAGGAAACTTCCTTTTCATTTTTTAGCCAGGACACATAAAATAAGTTCATTCATATACTATGTATACATGTAATTATAGTCGCCCGCGTGGCGCAGTGGTTAGAGCGTTCGCTCTAGAGTCGCGGAATAAGGAGTTAATCCTTACGTCGCAGGTTCGAATCCCACAGTGGGACGTGGAGACCTGTCCTTCGGATGAGACCCTATAAACCGAGGTCCCGTGTCGCAGTAGGTGCTGGTACGAAAAAGACCCCTCAATGCTCAATGGCCCTGAGTGCCGAGTATAGGTCAAAATTTGCAGCTCTCCACCGGCAAGTGGTGGCGTATCCATATGAGCGAAAAATTTTCGAGAGGGACGTTAAACAATAAATAAACATGTAATTATATATATTGTATGAAATATTAGCGATTTCCTTCAAACATCTTCAGATTTACATGTATAAACTGTGTAATGAAGACAAAGTTTTAAAACTCTATTTGTCATACGATTTTCACGAGACAGTTAAAAGCCATGACCATCTGAAAATTAATTGTAGACAAAGTATTGGTGAAAGAAGTAAGCAATCTGTTCTCGGCTCTGATAATGAATATATTCGTAACAAAAATCAAAGATACGTGTATCTTATATGAATATCACTATGAATGAATCAAATCTTTTTATTTGAAGATAAACCCAACAGTGATTATTATGGGATTCCAGTCTGGTAAAGAGGAATTGTTAATTGCTGAGAACCTTAAAACCAGAGACAACGCGGACAGGTATGAGGGAAATAAGGCAAAAAAGATAAATTAATGAACAACATGACAAATGATGAATTAATGAACAACATAAACAAAAAGTGAAGGAATCACATGTACATGTATATGCACTTACTGAAAGATTTCATTAGTTAATTACACAGTTCTGTAATTTATTCCATAAATCACAAGAATTTCTCTTTCATGTTTAGGGCAACTTGCCTGAAACAAATCAGGTTTCTGGGAGAGTCTAATATCCAAGAGTGAGTTAAATGTTTAAATTATATTGAAGTCTAGATCTAAATTATATAATTGTTCTACATCTTCTCACAACTTGAAAAACATGTAATTTCGAATACATAAGAACTGCTAAATTTCTAGTTATTTTCAAGACGACAATTCAGTAACAGATGAATCATATTTTGCAACAATGAAAAGTGTATCTCCAGAGGACCCCGCATTCATTATCAGAACAACGGTAAGCATCTCTTTTCAATATTTTCCCCACGTCAAAAAGCTGATATTGTTGATAGAGATACTATCTAGTTTTGAAAAATAACTCAGTAAATTCAATTTATTCACTCAGGGTTCTACGGGTTCCAGTAAAGCTGTTTTAACGTGTCACAAATCAGTAGTGAACTTCGGGATTTTTTGTGTCGATCGCCATGAACGCAAAAAAGTAGGGTTTTCCTCTTTACATTTACTCACACTGAACTATTCAGAAGTTTAAGTAAGAAGTAAATGGACTCATTTCAGTTTTGTTTTCTAAATATGAATTAATGTCTTCTGAATGACATGAATTGTTTGCTTTCTTCCCTTATAAGATGGTAACCAATGAAATCAACATTGCCGTACCTAACCCTGTGACAGATGATATTCAGCCTGTGCTTCACACATTAAACGCGCTAATAAACTGGAAAACCTCAAAGATCGTGTTGAATCCCTCATGGCTTGACTTTGGATGCGAGGATATGGAGCGTTTTGCCAAGTTTCTGCAAGAAGAAAAGTTGGTTGTTTTAATTTCATAAACAATTTCACTGAATGCATTTCGTATGGAATATTATACATGCTATTTTAAATCCCTGTAGCGCTTATTTAACTGTGAATGCATTTATTGCTGTGTATTTTTATCATATTGAAGAACTGTTGAAGTGCAAGCAATAAACAGCGTGTTTTTATCAGCAATCTTATACACGCTGTTATAATACAGAAGATAGTAATTAATTTTGTTTTATTTCCCTTCTAATTTGTACAGAATAACATGTTACCTTGGTTATCCTTACGAAGTGATCAAGTTGGTAAACTCGGAATACGCTGATCAGTATGATTTATCCAATCTAAAATCGGGTAAACACTTACCTATTTATTATACTGTTTCAAAATACTAGTAGATAAAGATATGGAAAAGGTGCCGTCGCACAGGCTTCAAAAATCTAACGATCCCAACAACAACAACAAAAAAAAAGTTGAAAAAAATTTAACTAATATGCTGATTTTAATCCACTTAAAATATGCTTTCATAGCTTAAACTAGCTGATTGCTCAAATTCTGGACATGAAAATATACTCACGAGTCAGAGTATATTAGATTTACATCAGATTACCTACACATAAATGAATTTCATCATTTATTATGAAGAATTAGAAATACAGCTGTTTTTTTATCTTTAATCTGACAAAAAAGACTTAACATACTTGTGGGTTTTCTTCATTTTTAGTCAATCTAGTGTCGCAAATAGTATCCAAAGAAATGCGAGAGACAATTTATAAGCATTTTCCAAATTCAGCGGTGAGTTTTTAATTTGGTCTGACTCAGAAAATTACAGTCTTCCTAAATGAACTATTTCTTATATTTTTTATTGATAACATGAATTTATTCAATTTATTTAAATTTATATTTTACAGGTTTGTTACGGGGCTAGCGAATGTCTAGTAGGAACTTGTACGTCTCCTATCCTGTCTTCCCCAGAGCAACGCTTGTACACTGTAGGATATCCATTCCCCCATACAGAGGTATAAAGAAATTTTAACGTAACTTGTTAAACACAGGTTCATTTTCACATCTGTGTGAAACTAACAACAATTTCTGTTTATTTCATTAAGTTTTATTACTGTTACTGTTAATGATTTTAAAAAGGGAATCATTAAGTCTTGTTTAATAGGTAAAAATTATTGGAGACAAGCATGAAATACTCCCAATCAACGTACCAGGTGAAATTTGTATAAAGGGATTTGGTATATTTTATGGATATTTAAACAACAATGAGCCAGGGACAGGTCCATTGGACAAACAGGGATGGTTACGAACTGGGTATCTCTCTCTCTCTCTCTCTCTCTCTCTCTCTCTCTCTCTCTCTCTCAAAATATTTTTGAAAGTATTCAATCTCCTGCAAAAAATCTCTCAAACATGAATCTGTCAAAATAAGAATTAAAGTTGGCTGATTCCTTAAATGTAGTCAATTTAATGCAGACGAAATATGTTTCAAAATGTCTTAATTAAACCTGTCGATTGATTTAAGGGATGTTGGTAAAATGGATGAAACAGGACATGTGACGTACATTGGCCGTAAAACTGACTGCTTGTTTTTCAAACATGGTGGGGATAAAATTTATCCAACACAACTGACTGACATCATCTCCTCCCATCCAGATGTGTTGGAATCAGCGGTAATTTTAGTTTTGAATTCAAAAGTTTATCAAGGTTGTTCTTTAAAGTCTTACTATTCACACTATATTTGAAAGGTAGAGAATTCTTAATTAATATTGGTGTAAGCTGATAGACAAAAAAGCATTTTAGAAGTGAACAACATCGATACCTAAGAATTTTTTAACCTTATCTATATGCAACTGATGGCCGTAACCATCATACAAAAAAATGTTCTATCCATAATATTAGGCTATATTCAATGACTTCTCTTCATTCAGGTTCTTGGTATTCAAAGCGATGAAAAAGGGGATGATATTTTTATATTTTATGTGTGAGTATACTTAATAAATTTATTTAGAAACGATGGGAACATTATTTGTACTTTATAAAGCCTAATTATCTGTAAGAAATTAAAAAATAATTTTCTTTGTTACAGACTAAGAGAGGGATCCACAGCTACTCCAGGCAATCTGAGAGAATACATGTTACTGAGTGTAAGTCTTTAAAAATATTGCGTCGCCCGCGTGGCGCAGTGGTTAGAGCGTTCGCTCTAGAGTCGCGGAATAAGGAGTTGATCCTTACGTCGCGGGTTCGAATCCCACTGTGGGACGTGGAGACCGGTCCTTCGGATGAGACCGAATAAACAAGGTCCCGTGTCGCAGCAGGTGCTGGCTCGAAATAGATCCCTCACTGCTCAATGGTCCTGTGTGCCGAGTATAGGTCAAAATTTGTAGCTCTCCACCAGCAAGTGGTGGCGTCTCCATATGAGTGAAAAAATCTCGAGAGGGACGTTAAACAATAAACAAAAAAAAAACAAACATAAAAACACATTGCAATATTCAGATTTAAAAGGATTGAATTTTTTCTTCTATTTGAAAACATGTCGTTTTAACAGGTGCATGAGACCATGTGTGCCGACTTTTTTATTCCTGTACAAAGTCTGCCAAGAACCGGTTCACGACATAAGGTGAGACCAATTCTATGCAAATTTAAAGAAAAATAATAAAGAAAAGCGGACGAAAACATAGGTTTTATTTTGAAGATAAAAACAATAATATATGTTTATGAACGTTTTTAATACTTTAATGAAAGATACTGAAAATATTAATTCTGAATTATAATTATTCTTATGAAACGAAGATTTATTGTAATTATTTCATGATTTGTTTTAGAGATAATGCAAAATACGCAAACAGTTCTTTGCTATTTCTCATATGCCCACAGTGAATAGTATTAATTCTAATTAAGCATTCAAAATACAAATACAGAAGTTTAAAAGTTTGTTATTATGTAAAAGTAGTGAAAGTATAAAAACCCTTGATGTTTCTCTGCTGCACTACTGCTGCTTCTCATTTCAACTTAATTTAGGATTTATTTATGAAATAAATGATTTAAATGGCATTTAAATATAAATATTTTTTTAGGTAGATACACTAAAATTAAAATCAATGGCTGAAGATATCAAAAGGACTGCTCATAATACTACTTGAGATTGCTGAAGGTATAGACTGATAAATACATATATAAGAAACCTATTTTCAGGATAGCCTTTCAAACATTAAGTTTTATTGATTACTATATAAGCGATTGATTTATGTCAAACAGCTACTATAGTACTATCTTTCGATGACACTTTGCAATACATCTATTCAGGGTTCTCCATCATTTGAAATTTTACTGTGTTGCAGTCTTTACGTGAACCACTAATATTCGCCGCATTTTTGCGTTTAAATTCTTATAAAAGAAAAAAAAACTTATATAATATACTTGTATCAATATTTACAAGTTGTATGTATATATTAAACCTTGATATTTTTGTGTATATGACTTCATGTTTTACATATGCTCTGAAGAGCAGAGGAAATCCTGGTCGATACAATCGATCTACAGTAAATTTTCCGTGATTTTTGTCAGTTGATCGAATTACAGAATTTTAAAAAAGAAACTTATAGAATAGTAAAATACTTTTCGGCGGCGCCCTTAAATTCTTCAACAATCAATGAAATGATTACGGTACGATGTTTGAATCACAGTGCCAACATGATTCTAGAGATGTGGTTCTGAAGTATAAAGACATATATTCATAATAATTTTTTTTTATTTTTTTTTAAATTTTGAAATATATTTAACAATGCAACTAGCAATTATACGGTTACATGGAAGTGTGAAAACAAATTATTTGTCTTTGTTTCTTCATGCGTAAAGTCCAGCGGGGGTCTAGCTAGGAGATAATTAATTATGCAAGGTGAAGCAAGACAAAGCGCCTTAATGAGGCGATAATTAAGTGCTTTGTCTTAAAAACTGAAAGACGATAAATTTGTTTGATTAAAGTCTCAGTTCGAGAGAATTTTTGTTCTGAATATTTGATTATCACATATTTTAATGTGTCGCAAAATTTTTACTGTGTTGCAGGCATAAAATTTGAATCGTTACTGTGTCGGGGAAAATTTTACTGTGTCGGACCCGACAAAGTAAAACAGTTCATGGAGAACCCTGCTTCTATTGTATACATCAATTATTCGTTTTCATTTGAAAAGAAAAAAAAGTTAAGTAAGCGACAACCCCCTTTTTTCTTTGTGCCCTTTTTACACAGATGACAGATTCAGAATGATAACGCCTCAGTCTCAAACTGCTGTGTTTGTCTATCATGCGAATAAAAGCTGGATGAAAGTGCCATATTCAATTGTTAACTGTAGCAAAAGTTTGATATTACATTTCCGTCCCAAAATTAATATAATACATGTATTTGCATCTGGTAAATCGAATTTAAAACATTGGTATCTGGATATATATATATATATATATATATATATATATATATATATATATATATATATATATATATATATATATATATATATATATATAACGCACTAAAAATTACCAACGACCAAACACTAAATATTTTCAGTGTTACATTTTTGATTTGAAGTTTATAAACAGATGTGGTGAAGTCATTTAGTTTGTTAATACCATTAGGGCGGAATGACTTCAGCCTGTGCATCCAGAACTGTTTCTTGTCTTTTTTCTAAGCGTCTGTTAATCTAGGATTATGGTCAATAACCACTACTGTCATGTCCTCCCTTTTGTGACCTTCAAGGTTGAAATGTTCCCCAACGGGTTCAATTAGTTTTTTGGTCCTAATGGTAGAACGGTGATTGTTGACTCTCCCGCGGTGATCTCCTGTTTCACCGACGTACAATGTACTGTTTGGAGCAAACTTTGCAACTGATGAGATAAATGCAGTTGTCTTTCTGACAGGACAAATTCCATAGTAATTTGTAGCTGCGACCTGTTAAAGCTGTCTGTGTCAGAGCTGTGCTTACAGAGAAGACATCTTCTGTCAGAGGTAGTTTTAAAGCCCCCGTTAGGTAATTGATTGTCCAATCTGGTTCTAATTACAATGTCCTTTAGGTTCTTCGGGCGTATGTATGCAGCCAATGGAGTCTCCTTAAAGACTTCTGCCATTCGTTTATTTGAGTGGAGAATTGTTCAGTTTTGATTGGTTTTTGGTGTTGTTTCATTTGCCAACACCTAACATCAGTCTATCAAATTTACAGTAGACGTAACTAATTCGAAAAACATATTCCTAGATACTACATCTACCCTGATTAATGTGAAATCGAGTTCAGTCTCCACACGAAACCCACAGATTCCCATCTGTATCTTATGTCAATTAGCTGTCGTCCATCCCCCACACACATTAAAGGGTGTGCCTAAGGGTCTAGCCACCAGAATTCGGCGCATCTGTTCATCCCCTGCCTTATATCAGGAACAAAGCGGTCTCCTCAAGTCCCTCTGATGCAAGAGAGGCTACAATGCCCGCACCGTACAAACTGCTATTGATGAGATGGTGGGGCATGACAAGCAAAACCTATTACGCTACAAGGAGAAAGACAATAGCGGCAGGGTCCCTCTGGTAACCACATACCATCCCGTCCTTTAGAACCTCAGCGGTATCCTTCAAAAGAACCTGCCAATTCTCCACTCAAATAAACGAATGGCAGATGTCTTTAAGGAGCCTCCATTGGCTGCATACAGACGCCCGAGGAACCTAAACGACATGGTAGTAAGAACCAGATTGGACAATTCATCACCTAACGGGGGCTTTAAAACTTGCTCTGACAGAAGATGTCTTCTCTGTAAGCACAGCTCTGACACAGACAGCTTTAACAGTCCCGTTACAGGCCGCGGCTACAAAATACTAGGGAATATGTCCTGTCAAAAAGACAACTGCATTAATCTCATCAGTCGCAAAGTTTGCTCCAAACAGTATGTTGGTGAAACAGGAGATCTCCGCAGGAGAGTCAATAATCACCGTTTTACCATTAGGACCAAAAGAAACAAATGAACCCGTTGGGAAATATTTCAACCTTGAAGGTCACAAAAGGGAGGGCATGACTGTAGTGGTTATTGACCATAATTCAAGATGGACAGACGCTCAGAGAAACGGCAAGGAAAAGTTCTGGATGCACAGGCTGAGATCATTCCACCCTAATGGTATTAACAAACTAAATGACTTCACCAGGATGAACGTGAACTAGACCCAATCTTGAATTGTAACAAACAAGTTCATTCTCTCTATATAGTGTAAACTTTACCTTTAATTCGCATTAGCAATTCTGGAACAACCTACACAAATATTTATAGCTTACATTTTTGTTTATTTCTTTTATCCGATTTCCAAAACTATAATATATCCAAATTCATATTTTAAAATTGCCCTTCCGTATTATCTTTCTTTAGTTTCTTTATATCATGTATAGTTACGCTATACTGAGAGAATAAGACAGTGTACGATTTACTACTTGGTCGTAATTAATTAGCGATAATTAATTCGTTCAATTATGTAAGTCGCACTTCACCAGAGTACACCCGATAGACCGGTGTCGCATAATATTTGGTCCGCCTCGTTTAAAGGTCCGGGGGTACCCAATACGATAACATATAAGGTCCGCCTTTTATAAGAAAAGGTCCGGTCCGTATAAGAAAAGGTCGGCCTAAGTTTTAAGGTCCGAGTGGTGCAAAATGTTTTAATCTTGACTTAAACACATAAAATTAAAGAGAGTTTGTTTACATCGTATGAAGAAAGAAGGATTTACCCTAGCTGTTGTGTTTTTTTTTTTTTTTCGTACAATAGATGTATATCTCTTAGGGCAGGAGTTCCTACTCCTTGTTTAATGTGCTTTTAGTAATGCCGTTTAGGGCAATGATTTTTTTTTTTAAAATGTCCCATTTATTAGGCTTGTGTTTGTTTTTCCCCAGCATTTGCTTTGTGTTAATTAGGACGATTAAAGGTGTGAAATCTGCCGGTGTGTATATGCAATAAAACAATGGGATGCGTGAAGTATTCGTATACCTGACAGGTACCCGCAGGTAGAGCCCGCGGCAGATACATGTAGCAATGACAATGTTATGGTCATGTGTTTGCTTTAAATCAATAGATATGAATTCTCTATTTTAATAAATTATGCTAAAGAACAAATTATAATGCTATTGTGATATTCATGCGTACACATCAAAATTGTGATTTATATAATTATATATAGTCTATTTTTATTACAATATTTAAAGAAATTTCTTATTCCAAGTGTAGAGTTTAATACTGTAAGACCGATAAAAAATAAAAGTATGTATATGCTTCTTTTTAGTTTTAACAATTAACTTGTTTTCATGTTATAATAATATTTTTAGTCCTTTATTTGTGGATAGGGTAATATATAGTCTAATGTTGTATTCGATTTATATTTACTGCAGAAACAAAACACATGTAATATTTTAAATCTTAAAACAGGTAACTCAATGTTGTTAAAAACATATACATCAGATTTAAAGTATAATCATGGTTTCGATTTAATCCTTTCTTATAAAAATATCACTCTTCCTCGTCAAAATGAACTACATAATTATGAAATAGTTTGTAATTTTTTTGCCAAAAGAAAAGAAAAAGAAATTACACATTTTACTGTGACTATAGCCAGACTGTGGGATAATCTAGCAGGCTGCATTGCATGACCGATTAAATTTTGAAATCATTATTGTAAAATATTTTTTTATTATAAAGTATTTTCGGCAAAGTTGAATGCCCAGTTCTGCATACAAATCATTTATGTATCTCACGTCTGTATGAACGGGAGAAGGGGGGGGGGCATCAGTTGTTCCTCTTCCTTTTATTGCG